CATCCAGTGACGAAGACCTTGTCGTGCTCTTCGCTGATTTTTCTGTGCACAATATCGTTAGGCTTGATCAATTGAGAATGAGATCAGGTGCATACCTGATAGCAGGGGGGGCGCCTGCGGGCATCAATATCCTTCCAGGCGAGCTCGGGTGTCTAACGAAGAGCACGAGGATGAGGATAACAACGATCAAGGGGAAGAGGATGACGACGCCGAGGGGCACCGAGATGCTCGAGTTACCGCGAAGTCGCAGCGGTCTTCTGAAGAAGGCAAGTCGCGAGGTCAATCTGTTCTGGCGAGCGGCCTTTGTGGCAGGCTTCTCGTCGGCGGTGGGCAGTTGCGGCGACGTCGAGGTCGCCTTTGCGGCTCGTCTAAAAAGATCCATGGCTACGGCTGCGGCGCACCGTGGCCGGCAGTTGTGTGAAGGAGGGAGGTTGTGTTTGGCGGTGTTGTGGTAGAGAGATGTCGGATGAGAGATGGGATGGCTCCAAGGGTGGCGTTGAAGGATGTGTCGTCAAAGATTAGTAGGGCTGGTTGGATAAGGGGTGTGTGGAAGGCGATTGCGGTGCGATGCGTCGATTAATGGACCTGATTCCCTTTTTTTCTTCCTTGGATGAACACGCGAACCGCGAACAAATGCAAAGCCGTGTGCTATCGAAGCAGCATACGCAGGCCGGAAAACGAAAAAGGCTGATTGACACGTGGTTTGCGTGGGCGATGCGAATTGCCAAGGGGTGCGGTACGTGAACGAGCGGCAGGGACGAGATTTCCCTCGAGCAAGGCGTCGGGTTTGTGGTGGTAGTGGAGTGCTGACCGAAGACGGGGGGTGAGAAGCTGAGACTGAACAGTTTTCAGGCTTCGCGTCGAAGGCGGAGGAAAGACACGGCACTCGCTGATGGAGAGGGTGTGATGTGGATGCGGTAGCGGAAGCGGAAGCGGAGAGCGCGGTTGCTTTGCTAGGCCTCGCTGTTGCAGTCAATGGGCGGAGTTGACGGTGAGACTACTACCCTCGTGGTATGTGGTAGATTGTGCTTGTGAGATTGAGCCCAAAGGTTCAAAAGAAGCAGAAGAAGGTTGGTTCTTCTCTCCCCAGGGTCACACACACAAAGGGCCTGACGGGTTGAGCCGGTTTGGGATGTGATCAATTGCGTCGAGCAAAGGGTCTCGTCTCGGCAGGTGACATAGGTCAGTGGCGTTCGCGAAAAAAAAAAAAGAGGCGCGGGCGGGCGCTTGCGAACGCTATCGTGGGTTGTCGCCGTCGTCTTCGCTCGTCAGGTCGGAGGGGAGGGAGGGTGTTAAGTTGGAGAAAGGGAAAGGTCGTTCGGCGGGATGAAGGGGGTGGGTTCGTGAGTGGGAGAAGAAAGGGAGTTGGAATTCCGTCGGGAACAAGTACCTTAAGGAACCAACTTTTTTTTTCGGGGTGGTGGGAAGGGGGGGAAAAGCTGACAGATGTCACCCGTGGATGGCTACGGATGAGGAGAGGTGGGAGAGTCACGGACGGGATACCTACCTAAGGAGGTTGGCATTTTTTCATGGCGATAGGGGAGCCGGGGGACGGAAGGGGACACCGTAGGCGCCTTCCAAGTTCCAAGTTCCAAGTTCCATCTTCCATTTTACACCTCAATGTGACGGCAGGCACCATGCTCACGGCACCTGCCACCACGACCACGCAATCCAGTAGCGAGATAGGGACGCCGTCTCCTGTCATGCACCTTAGCGGGTTCCTCATAGCCTCAATCAGAGTCGCGGTCCCCTAATCACAACAATGCCATCTTTCTTCACAGTTCACTCCCATGGCTGCTCACCTTACGCAGTATGCTGGGCTGGCCGTGGTCTAGGACTTGGAAAGTTGACGGGGATGCCAGAGACCAGACCAGACTGGACTGAATCTGGATGAGAACTGCAACGACTGCAACTCGACACAGCCAACCAGAGCACGGAAAGGGAGGGCAGAGTGGGGTAGAGGGGGGCTCAGGGTGGATGCGAGCAGCTCAGGGAACCTCGCGTCATTGGATAGATCGTCCCGCCAAGAACCGCGGAAAGGAGAAAGTGGACCCCCTCCTTTTCGTCTGGATATCTATCGGTACTCTGGGGTACGTACCAGCGTTATTCCATCGTGCAATCTGGACTCTTTCCGTTTTCATCCACTAATCACTCTCTGCTTCCTTCCATGATCAGCATCTATCTGCCCGTCCTGTCCACGTTAACAAAGTGCAAAAATACGAATACCTTATGAACTTGCAATTCCGGTGTCCCAAGGGCTTAGGTAATAATCCTGCATCCTGTCAGCGGCGTTTGGCCCAGATGCTCAGACCTTTCCTTGACATGTTGCATTGGATGCTATTTCCTGTAATCTGGCAATCTGGCAGCTGCTGCCCTGGAGCTTGTCAGCTCCTGTCGCCTGCGCCACACTTCCCACCTCCCGTCTGCCCAATCGCCAAGCAGACAAATCGCACATACCAACTTCCAACTTCCATCCTGTCACGGGAGGACAAGCGTGTGGTCCCCAAGGACAAGTCCTCAACCCGATCCTGGTCCGATGGTGGCATTTCGCACCCAATGGCAGCCAGTCTGTACTTCTAGCGCCTCTTGTCGTTATCGACTGCCCACGAGTGGCACCAGCCGCACTACCTTACTCATGAGGTTGTATTCAAAAACCTACACAGTAAGCGCAAGCCGGAAACAATACAGATACAGCTTGGCTAGCTCCGTTGATCATTGATGAGATTGATGAAGGCCATCTATCGGTGTGGATCACCAGATAACCATGACTTCAACTCTAATCGTCCTGTGGGTTACTCACCTGTTGTGCATGACTGGTGCACGACATCCATCTCACTCCACGGCTTTGCCGATTGCTTATTTTGATGCCACTGAATATTGACATGAGGTGAAGAACTACCTACCGGTGGTACGCCCTGTCTCATTTTTGCCATATAATTACCTTATATCATCCTCCTACATTCTTCACGCCCTTATCGAGTTATCAAATGCTGAAATGGCTGAGACAACACAAATCTCCCATACTCTGACTGACGTATGAAATAGTAAACTCTAAGCCTATATGGACTGTTGAGCCTTATTTATATCTCGATCAACAGATTCGACAACGATTCCTTTCTCTGATTCAGAACACCCTTCCCCAAATTAGCATATGGAACTTCATAATGTCTCAACATCTCACCTCTCGCATGAGAAAGATGAACCGATGAATACCCCTTTCCTTACCAGTCTGATACTCGAGACTGCCTGGAGAAAGTTGATAGTACACTGCTGGGAAATGCCGTCCCAAGGACCCGTACTTCATAAATGACTACCTAACACCAATCTCATTCTCCATCTGAGGTTCGTTCCTGGTCATTGAGGGCCCTCACTTCGCCTTGCTGAACATCTTCTTCTCCGTAGACCTCATCTTCACCATAATCCTCTTATACAACGGGTCCTGCAAGGTCGCAGGCACCAGGTCCAAAAACGCCATCTGTACCGCGTGGCCCCAGTACGGAATCAGCACCGCTCTCCCGCACCCGACCCTGTCCAAGATGGCATTTGCAATAACTTCAACCGAAGGCCAAAATACCCGCGGCGTCATCAGCTCCGGCTTCGTCGCCACCGCCCCAATCCGCACGCCCATGACCTCGACATCGAATCCGTCCATCGACAGCTCCCTTGCCATGGACGTCGACATGGCGCCGAGATACGCCTTGCTCCCGCTATAAAAAGACAGCAGCGGTAACCCGTTATCCGATAGTGACCCGACATTGATAATCAGCGCGGGTTCTGACGACGCAGTGAACCGCGGAATCAGTATAGCGTTGAGCAGCGTTGGAAACAGAGCATTCATGTGCACGTTGGCCGCAATCTCCTCCATCGACGACTCATCTAGCCTCCTCATGATCGGCTCCGCCGGTCCGCCGCCGACATTGTTGACAAGCACGCGCAGGTTCAAATTCTCCAGCGGCGCAAGCATAACATCCCACGGCTGCTGCCCGGCTCCGAGAACCCCGGCATCGCCAACCATGATGCGAAACTCCCTGTCCGGATTCGCGAGCGCGAGGTTGTGCCGCACCTCTTCCAGCTTGACGTCGTTGCGGCCGTGGAGGACGACGTTGAAGCCCCGCCGGGCCAGCTCGTTGGCAAGACCTTTGCCTATGCCGTCGCTCGCGCCGGTGACAAGGGCCCAGGCTGGTTTGCCGTGGACGGGGATGAGGTAGCGGTCGAGTTTGGATTTGCGGAGGAAGGGGAAGAAGGGCCATGCGAGGTTGTATGCCGCGCTGACGAGGGCGATGAGCCCGACTATTTGAAGGAAGCCGAGAGAGTCCATAGTAAGGTGATTAAAAGGTGGTACTGATCAGTTACTAGCTAGCTAGCAGAAAGCACGAATGTGAATGAAAAGAGCTCAAGCTGCCTCTATTACCCACCTTGTCCCGTTCCACGCTCAGCTACTTGTACGCTAGAAAGAAACGAAACACGCATGTGAATGGTCTGACCAGACGTCATCCAGTCCAAGAGGTTGTCGAATTGACTCTAGCCAACAGGGATGGTTCAACAACACCAAACGCCAGTTCTCATGCTCCCCGCGTGGGACTTGGGCATCCGAGGGCGGCCGGCCACCAAAACCCGTTAATACGGATACGCTCTACCATGCCATCTCGGAGCCAACTCATTCCCCGATGAGCGGCCAGACGAGCAGGATCTATCCGCAGCGTAGGCAAGATATCATCAGCATGTCAGCAATGCAAGAGTTGGGCCGAACTCTGCTTCCCTTTCTTGGCCCTGTGCCTCTAGTAAGCCTATTTTCACAAATCAGAGCCTAGGCCGTTCGTTTCCGCTCAACATCGGACGGAGAATAGAGAGTGCGGAAATAAGGCCCAGCTGTTTGAGCTTGGGGGGTAGTAGTAGTATTGATACAATGTCTGTACATACAAATCGCCGGGAAGTAATGGTACATTTTCTCATCCTGTTTTTTGGGCTCTTCCTCCACACCAACCACCGCTCTCCCGTGTCTACCAGAGGGTGTTGTCGCGGGTAACCTTCTTAGTCTCCTTGCGCGACTCCTTGTCGGCGTGCTCGATGCGCTTTCTCGCAAGCGGCACCTTGAAGTACAAAGACGGTGACTCGCCCTCCTTGAGCAAGTGGCTCAAGTAACCGCGGTGGGCGGGGTCGCGGTAGTACTCAATATCCTCACGGCTCGTGGGGTCGGGCAATCTGTAGAGGAACGTCTTCTTGCGGGCCTCGGAGAGGATGCTCTCGACGTACTCCTTGCCGACGGGCAGGGGCTTATCCGTGTTCTGGGACTCGCCTCGGAGGAGGCGCTTGATGGACTGCTTGGTGTAGAACCTGGTGAGGATCTTGCCGCCGTTGCCCTCGACGGCGTCAATGGCGGAGGCGGAGGCGCGCGAGACCATGATGTCGATGGGCTGGCGGAGGTCGGTCTTGCCGCGGCCGAGGAGCTTGATGCCGTCCTTGACGCTGCCGATGAGGCCCGACTCGATGATTTCCTTGACGGTGATTTGCTTCGTAGGATCCAGGCGGCCGGCGTCGATCCATTGTTGGAGCTTGTCGAGGTTCAATTTGGACATGACGGGAGCGCGCCTGCGTTTGAAAGTCAGTGACTGAAGATCGATTGTGTGGACAAGGCTCTGGACAAGCCGTTGGCGAATGATGTTCATGAATGCACCTACTTGTTGTCGAAACCCTTCGTTCCCCTTTGCACGATCAACGGTGTCTGACCACCTTGGAACCACGGCTTGACGTGGCCATGCTGTCCCTGACCCTTGTGACCTCTTCCGGACGTCTTGCCCTTGCCGGCAGAAGGACCACGACCGAGTCTGATGCGCTTGTTGTAAGCTCCCTTGTTGTCGCTCAGGCTGGCGAGGATGGAAGCATTGCGGGTGCCGATAGACAGGCCAGCGAAGAGGGAGACGAGGCTCGTTGGGTTCGTGGAGGGGCGGAGGGCGCGGCTACAGCATGTCGCAGCATGCAGCGGCGATACTATCCGTGGCGGCATTGTGAGGGTGGATGTGGTGGCGGTCGTGGGCGTTGGGTGACGATGAACAGCGACACGGCCGAGATTCCAGGTCCGGTCCTCCAAAATTTCCAATGGAGCCTCACTCTCCCGGGAAGCTGCTGCAGGTGGCCCGGTCGCGGTTCGGCAGGTTCACGCGAAGAAGAGCCGACCAAGCCACACTCGATAAGAGTGGCTGAAGCTCATCAAGGTGTGGCTGGTGGATATCAGGTACGAAGCACCTTGCATGCTTACCTAAGGCCCACTTGAAAGGCATGACTTGCGTTAGGCACCTGAAGCTTCCCTGGCAGCAGCCCAGTGCCCCTCTACGGAGAAGGTACCTTAAGGTACGGAGCACGTCGACCTGCGACAGGGACTGTTTGCTCCGCAACAGCGTGGTCTCCTGGTTCAGTCCACTACTCCGTATCTGGTTGTCCCAGCCCCGTTCCTGGTTCAGGCACTGAGTGAGGCACAGACGGACAATTGGAATTTGGGCTCACCTCACTCAGCACTGTCAGTGTCGCCAGACACAGCGTATCCTCGTCCAAGTTCCAGAGGAAGGAAGTACCTGACCAGGTCCCTTCCCTCGCAGCCCACGCCCGTCTCGACTTGTCTCAAGCTTTCAATCCTTGGCCCCAGCTCTGCCTCCAGGTTGGGTTGTGACTTTGGGAGTAAAAAAAAAAAAGGTTCAAGCTTTTTGTCTTGATTAATCTTTTTCCTTTTCCAACTTCCAATCGTGAGATCGCTCTCTGTTTCTGTACAGTTTGTTGTGTACGTGTACGTACGCATCATCGTCAACCATCTCGGTGCTGCGTGTACATACATACTTAGGTATCTCTCCTAGGTTCCATACCTTGTCATTGTCGCGGCCTGTCGCATCATCCACCCACTGGACCCCCTGGTCTTCCTTTCATCATCGTCTTCTTCTTAGGCTCCTTGCGCTGTTGATGTTTGCAAGGTACGGATACTCGACTCGACTGGACGCAGCTCAGCTCTCCCACACCTCTGCTGGAACCGACCTCGAGCTCTCTCGGCTCTCTGTTACTGCGATACCTTGACTTGACGTTGGCGCCAGTACCTACGCGGCAAGCTTACTCCGTCCGGACCTTTGGTCACCACGACTCGCCCGTCGACCTCTCTGCTCTCGTACCTTATCTCGTCACACTGCAACCGCCCGTATTCTACAAAGTCCCCCGTTACGCATCAATTACGAGGCCTCTCTGCTCTGCGTCCTGCGTTGGATAGCGCACTCCTCCGACCAGTAGCTCTTCCAATCCATCCAAGGGACGTCAATCGGCCTCTAGAGTACAGATACCACCAGCCAAACGCCAGTACTACCTCGATAACCTTGGAATTCGTTACCACCCTTCTCTCGCACCCCTCCTAATCGCAATTGGCCGTCCAGTACATACATAATCGCCTACAATGTCCCTCTTCGGATCATCACCACCGGCGGATTCGCCCTCAAACACCTCTGCTGCGCCCTCGCGATCGCTGTTCGACGAAGGCTCCATGTCAAAGTCCGGCTCCAATTCGCTCTTCACCGACGACGATCTCGCCGGAGCCGAGAGCTCACCCTGGGACATGCCCACTCCGAGGAAGAAGCAGTCGCGCGCCGATGTCGTCCGCAACCTCTTGTCCGCCTCCGACGTCCCCGAGCCCTACATTGAGACCTTTGACACAGTCGTGCGCGAAGATGGCAGCGGAGGGCGCGTCAACGCAGGTGGCATAGCCAAGCTATTCGCTGCTGCGCGCCTGGGAGCCGACCAGCAGGCGCAGATCATGTCCATGGTTGTGCCAGCTGCAGGTGGCGACATTGCTGTCGGACGCGGCGAGTTCAACGTCCTGCTGGCTCTTATTGCCCTGTCACAGGAGGGCGACCACATCAGCCTCGACACCGTCGATGAGCGACGCAGAAGTGAGTCCATTTTCTTCCACCTCTTTTCCCTCCGTCACCATCGCCATCATCACCACCATTTCCCAGCACCAGCAAACACCCACTTTTGTCTTGCCCACCTTGTTATGTCATGACCTCGGCACCCTGTTCGCCGAGCTGAGCTACCCGACCCTCGCAACTATCCCTCCTTCGTACCTTGCTACCACTTATCAGTGCGCGCAATCTGTGTGGGGTTCTCTGCTAATTGCCAATACACCAATCCAGATCTCCCACTCCCCAAGCTCGCCGGCTTGACTACTGCTCCCGTGATGCCTCCCGTCTCCGAGCTGGCTGCCAAACCTCCTCAAGCCCCTGCAACCCCCGTCCAAGATACCCCATCTCCGCCCTCACCGCCGCCGCCGCAGCCCACCACTCTGCGCCGACCTCCGATGGACTTCCCAGAGCCAGAGGACCCATGGAACTCTCCCGATGTACACAAGGGCCACGCGCACGCCATCGCCGAGTCCCCCAGTAGAACCAACGGCGCCAGCCCCCAGCGCCCTGCAGCAAATGGCAATGGCAACGGCAATGGCCACTATAGCACGTCTCCCAGCACCGCCATCGCCGGTCGAACCATCTCTTCCTACACATCTGCGGCCATCGGCTCAGAGAGGAGTTCTGGGAGGCAGGATGTAAACACCGGCACATCGCCGGGTGGTGGATGGGGCGGCTACTTTGATGGCAACACCACGGGAGGCGGCTTCAGCGAACCACCCCAAAACAACCAGGTCACAAGTCCTTTTGGCGGTGCAAGCGGTGGACGCGACGCGAATCTCAACCCTGCGACCGTGCCCTCTCTGCGGCCTGCCGTGAGCGGTCGTTCGGGAAGTTCTGTCGAGGAGAACGTCGTCATCACGTTGATGCCGGAGAAGGAAGGACTCTTCATGTTCCAACATCACAACTACGAGGTTGCGAGCGTCCGACGGGGTAGCAAGGTCATCAGGCGGTACAGCGACTTCGTCTGGCTTCTGGACTGCCTACACAAGCGGTATCCGTTCAGAGCTCTCCCTCTGCTGCCGCCTAAGCGTGTTGCTGGTAGGTCTCATACTGCTTCTTGTTCACAATGTTTACATGGCCCCTACTGACATCCACGCGTTAGTCAACGGTAACCACTTCTCTAATGACGGCGCATTTATCGAGAAGCGCCGCAGAGGCCTTGGGAGATTCCTCAATGCACTTGTCCGGCATCCCATTCTGAGCCAGGAACAGCTCATCATCATGTTCCTTACTGTCCCGACTGTAGGCCACTTCTAGTCTTCTCAGTCCACTGCATTTCGCTAATTGTTAGTATCAGGAACTGGCTGTATGGCGCAAGCAGGCCACCATCTCCGTTCAAGATGAATTCTCCGGACGTGCCTTGCCGCCTAACCTGGAAGACTCGCTGCCGCCCACCCTCGAGGCCATGTTTGATAAGACGCGCTCCGGTATCAGACGGTCAGCCGAGCTGTACATTAACATCTGCAACGTCATGGATCGTTTGGTGAAGCGCAGTGAGGGAGTTGCGGCGGACCATGCTCGTATTGCCATGTCCCTGACCTCACTCACCGAAACGAGTGCCGATACATATGCCAGCGACACCAACGATGTGCCTCTGCTCAATGATGGTCTGACGTCCATGAGCAGACACTTGAGAACGTGCCAGACGCTTTTGGAAGATGAGAGCAAGGCCTGGGAAGAGGGCGTGTTGGAGGATCTCAAGCGCCAACGAGATGCTCTCGTGAGCATCCGTGACTTGTTCGATCGCAGGGAACGTCTGGACAAGGACAATATTCCCTACCTTGAGCGAAGGATCCAGACAAATGAGACCAAGTTGGCCAGTCTCCGCAGCAAACCCGATGGCATGGTCAAGCCTGGTGAGATTGAGAAGGTGGTTGAGTCTATTCTCAAGGTAAGTTGGACGTATTCCGCTCGCTTGCTGCAGTACTGATGATAGTTACAGGACAAGGAGTCCATCGTCAACCAACACAACCGATCCATCTTTGTCAAGGAGTGCATCCGTGACGAGCTCATCTACTTCCAGACCACCCAGTTCCACGTCTCGCGTTGGAACCAAGACTGGGCTCAGGAGCGCGTCAAGTACTCCGAAATGCTGGCCGACAACTGGCGCCGTCTTCTCGATGAGCTTGACGGCATGCCCCTCGGCGACTAATTACCTTTCCTACGTACTTTACCCTTTCTATGAACGCATCGGCTTTGCATATGAGCGTCTCTTTACTACTGGCGTTCTGGTCTTTCCTCTTCATCCGCCGGGATTATTTCGACTCTTGCGTTGGACTGTGTCAGCGACAGTCTACCTCAAGTCTTGTACGAATCTGTGTCCGTTGGTTCTTGTTTTTTTTTTTTTTTCTGAGCGCGATATCTCTCAAGTCAGAATGTACATCTTAGAGCAGGGACCCGTTGCCGAATACCCTTTGGTTACGCAAGTTGCTTTTAATACATTGTTCTTAATCTTGATCTCATCATCTGCTCTTGCATCCTTTGACTTTTACCCGGTAGCTCTCAAGGCCTCGACTTGATGAACATGCCGTCATCATCGTCGTCGTCGTCCAGGTCGAATTATTCGTCAATCTACGTTACCATTAGATTAAGTAAGTGTCTCATGGCTCAGGTTAGACTTCAATCCACATTCCTGATATCATCTCAATTACAGTTCTCATGGCGAACGAGACCTCGACTTCATGAACCACCATACTTTATCCGTTTCTATAGATTCGATGAAGTTGACAAAGCACATCATTTAAAGTCTCTCTGTGTCAAAGGATCCGTTCGGAAACCATGCTGAGCAAGCATCCAAGTTCTTGAGGCCAGGTGCTCATGCATTTCTCCATAAACCTAGATCAGTGCTCGAATGTCAGATGAGATATCTGATCTCGTAATCCAAACGATAGGTTCTCCATCTATAAGATCACATGCCGTCTGCCAGATGGCTTTCACTCATCGTTCGAAGCACTTCAATCATTAAAACGGCTTACTAAAAACAGAATAAGCCAGTATCCGATAGCTTCACCTTAAGTACCCATAAATACCACATGGCGACAGACCTAGCTCTTATATCGCAGAAGATGTC